TTGCATTGATAGCAGAAGTTCCTTACCAGGAGGGAATTCCGTGCTCTGAATAGCTCACGGGCACAGTCAAAGCAAAGTTTAACCTCCTACGATTTTTAGTTGCCCTATAAAATCAAGACATACCTCCCCTAGGGAATATATGAAGGAGAAAGTGAATTACCTTGACATCTAGTCCCAATTTTCCCCCATAGTGCTTTGTAGCAGCAGAGGGGATGTAGTCACTCTATTCTCAGATTGTGGTGAGAAGGGTCAAGGGAGAAATCAAAAATGGTAGTGAAAGCAGGGACTTAGATAGCTTCACAGTTACTCCTGAATCATCTTTTCATGTAGTGATTTGAAAAATTAATATTGAGCCATGACTTATTGTGTCCGCAAGATGGCAGTGTTTCTGTTCCTCTTCATAGGACAAAGATGGCTCACAGGTGGCTGGATCTGAATTGTGGATTCTAGATTGGTGAGGTCAGAGCTTGTTTCAGATTTGTTGGCAGCCAGCCTGAGAACCCCTTGTGTTTCTTAGAGAAGCAGAAGAAAGAGGAACATAGAAAAGAGAGAGGACTTCTTTGATTTGGGAGCCCAGGTGTATAACTCAGGCCCCAGAATTGACTCTTCCATGAAATGGAGAAGTGTTGGGGAGCCTCGTTAGTGATTATGTGGCTTCAGCTTCATTGTGAGTTGCGGAGGAAAATTCTGGAGATGGGATCAGGAATATGTCCCCCAAGGCAGAGGGGGAAGAGCTAGGAACTCAGTGTACTTCAACTGTGGGACTGGGGGAAAAATGATCATGGAAAGCAAATGCCAAGTTTGGTGAATAATAACTTGATGTTATGGTCTTCTGTTGTCTTTCTGAACAGGGGTCAGCAGCCAGAAGGTGGAACAGAGTACTCTGCCGGTGATGGTTCAGGAGGATGAGAGATGTTCTCTGAACTGCAGTTATACTAGTAGTATCACCAATTTACATTGGTATAGACAAGATCCTGGGAAGGGCCTTGTCTTCCTGATGTTAATACGTTCAAATGAAAAAGAAAGAGTGAGTGAGAGATTCACAGCCAGACTTGATACCACCAATAAGCATAGCTCCCTCCACCTGTTGGCCTGCAAGCCTGAAGACTCAGCCACCTACTTCTGTGCAGTAGATACACAGTGTTTCCCAACCACCTGCAGCCAGTACATAAACTCATCTTCACAATGTAAGGGGTGGCTGTTAGAGTATGTAGGTGTAACAGAGCAAATAACCCAAATTCTTGTGCAATCAAAGGCAAATACAAAGCCTTCTTCCTTGAGAGGTAAGGAGGTCTGTTTTGAAGAGCGATGAACTAAGAATCCAGGTTCTAGTCTTGGCCTTACCTTTACTATATTGTTTGTCTTTAATGAAGTCGCATTAGTCTCGACACAAAAAAGTAAGTCATATGAGACAATTCAACTCAGTAAACATTTATGAATTTCATTTTAAGTAAAAAGGATAGTTGAGAGATACTGAAAAAAGATATAAAAATAAATATTTAAAATTTCAGAGTGGTGCTCTTCAGAAAAGTAATAAAGTGCAGAATAAGATATGTATTTTTAGACTCAGTGTATGGATTCATTTTGGATGACTATGATTATTTGCTAAATTTTTTTTATTATTTTGGGAGCAAGTTTGTGGGGGTAAATTGTAAATTGTGGTAAATTGTTGGAGTTGTGATAGTGATAACTCTCCACTAAAAGTAGCAAAAAAAAAAAAAGAAAACAAAAAAGAGAAAATCATCAATGGAATATTAAAATACACAGAAGAGAGCAGAAGTAAGTTCAGAAGGGGGCACAAATAAGGCAGTGTGGGAGCTATGAAGTTATATTTCATTTATACTTAAAAACAAACCAAGCTGTACAAAATAGAGATTCACAGTGTCACATACAATCTTCTTTTCCTTTTTTTCTTTATATAAGGAAAAAAAATTGTTTGTTGATGTTTATCAAGTTCACAATAATTAAAAAGAAAATGAAAAACTTATGACCTCAAAAAGCTTATAATATAATAGAAGAGATAAACATTTGCAAAAATGCATATTATAAAAATGAGATTATTAAGTGCACAATAAAAATACAAAGTGCAGTGAGAGTTCAGAGGAGGGAAAATCATTATAGAAGAGGGGAGTTTCATGTAGTAAGTGGTATTGAACTTTTAAAGGATAGAAAGTATTTTCTCAGGTGGCGATCAGGAGGAGTGGCATTATAGGTGCAGGGCAAAGCAGGAACAAAGACGTGGCACTAGGAAATCATAAAGCTAATTTGTCATAATTAGTCACCTGTTTAGTTTGGTTAGAAGAGTATGCAAAAGGGAATGGTGCGAGATAAGAATAGAAGGTACTTCTGAGTCAGGCCCTCAAATACCCAAATATTATTACAGGCATAAAGAATCGGAGATTGTGGAAGATCCGGTGCTCTATCCACTGTGCCACCTAACTGCCTTTAAATACAGGTACTCAATGAATATCTTTTTAATAAAAATAATGCTCTACTTCTTCCTTAATCTATAGTGGAAGTAATCTCTAGTCTTTCATTCAGGTAATAAATGTCCTTGGCTTTAACTTTTTGCCAGATGCCAGTAGAATGAGGTGTCCCATAGGTATCTGAGAAGGGCAGTACCACAGAAAATCAAGAGAAATATATTTATTGGTTTTGGAAGAGTCACATGAAGCCTGAGAATCTCACCCATGAGACAAAGCTATTTCTCTAAATATACCAAACGTGGTCGCCTTGGCCTCAGGATCTATCTAGCACCTTCTTTTCTTGATAAAACTGGAATACTACAGAATTTTAGAGATTAGAAATATTGTAGAACATCGTTGCATTCTCATTACTATCATCCTAATTTATACCCCCATTGATCTGGACTACTGCAATAGTCTTTTAAGTAAGTTTCCCTGCATCCAGACTCCTCCTACCCCTCTGTTTCCTTGTCTGTAAGATGAGGGGGTCAAATCAGATGACTTCTAAGTTCCCTCTTAGCTCTAAATCTATGATCCTATGTTTCTATGCTCTCTAGCTATGTGTCCTCTTTCTTGTATTTGTGAAATTGATCTTTTGAACTCTCATGAGACTTTATAATTCTCTCTACTACATTTTTGATTTGGTCCAACATTCAAACCTTTTTGGATCCTCATTCTAGTGTGTTAGCTTTCCCTCCCAGTTTTTTGTCTTTGCAAATTTGATGATACCATCAAAACTGAAAAAAACAAATAAAAAATACAAAACACCAAAATGGAAATTCTGAAAATCAAAGGAAAGGCTAATAAAATTGGAAGCATAAAAATCCATTGAACTAATGAACAAAACTAGGAACTGGTTTTTTGAAAAAAAAAATAGATAAACCATTGGTTAATTTGATGTAAAAAGGAAGAAAACCAAGTTACCAGTATCAAAAATGGAAAGGGTGTATACACTACCAATAAAGATGAAATAAAAGCAAGTAACCATAAGATAAATGAGAAAGAAGCTAAGGAGATGAATAGAATCTTAGAAAAGTTAGACATGGTAGATCTCTGGAGAAAACTGAATAGCAATAGAAAGAAGTATACCTTTTTCTCAACTGTACATGACATCTTCACAAAAATTGACTATGTATTAGGGCATAAAAACCTCACGACCAAATGCAGAAAAACCAAAATGCATTCTTTTCAGACCATAGTGCAATAAAATTGCATTCAATAAAGCATCATGGAAGCAGAGATTAAAAATAATTGGAAATGAAATAATCTAATCCTAAAGAATGAGTGAATCAAAGAATAAATCATAGAAACAATCAATAATTTCAGTAAAGAGAATGACAATAACGAGACAACATACCAAAATTTATGGGAGACAGCTAAAGCAGTGCTTAGGGGAAAATTTGTATCTCTAAACGTATAGATCAATAAAAGAGAGAAAGAGCTGATCAGTGAATTGGGCATATAGCTAAAAAAACCCCTTGAAAAATATAAGAAGTCATAAATGTCTTTATCTAAATAATAGTAAATACAATAAACAGCATAGGGCAATGCCTCTCTCAGTTACTCCACTAGAGATGTTCTTCTAGGTAGGCATTGAACCATTATTGACTTCTCTTTGGGTTTGGCTATTCAAACAAGTTAAGTCCTCCCAACTTTGCTATCATTGAACTCGTCTCTCTAACTTTTCCCTAGACATGGTATAATATACATCGGTAAAAGCTTTGATAATATGGAGATGAATCATATACTGCATCCTTTTATTAGACTGGTATCCTTATCTAAAAATGAAATGAGGTTAATCTGGCATAACTTGTTCCTGATAAAGTTATGTTGGCTCTATGTGATCACTACTTCCTTTTCTAGCTGTGCACTAATCATCCCTTCAATAATATGTTCAAAATTTTTTCCAAGAATTAAAGTTAAGTTGATTGGCCCATTATTTGCATATTCTAGCATTTTCCTTAAAAAAAAAATCAGGACGTTTTCCTTTCTCCTGTGATACCTCTCTCATTCTTCATGATTTTTCAGTGATCACTGATAATGGCTTAGTAATGATGTATCCATTCATTTACCCTCTGCTTACTTATACTGAATATCATTTCTTTATTAACCATTTTTGATCTGTCCCTCCAAGTCCAAAGATTAGTCTCCTTGGAAGAGAAAAAAGAAGCAAAATCAAAGGTAAGTAGTTCTACTTTCTGTCTCTTATCTGTAAAAGTGATTACATTGTCTCCTACTTTCTGAAGACCAGGTGTGGTACATTTCACTGCTCCTCTAGGAGTTTTCTAGTATCCTTAAGAAGAATTTTTAAGGTGTCTAGGCCTTCCTCCATTGGCTCCAGCTATCCTTCATCCAATGGTAGGACAATTTCTGCATTCCAGTTCTATTTAACCACTTGATAGTTGGATTAGTCTTTTTTTTACAAAGGAATATTTACCTCAAAAATACAATAACAAAATATTCCAACACAATCCCTCTTTAGCACCATTTCATACTCTGAGGAGAGGATAGGAAAATTTTACAATTTTGCTCAGATCCTATATATCACAGTCCGAAGTACCAAGTCCAAAGCCTGCCTTGGGCTCATGTCCCAGGCACTCTGCTTTCTCAGGGGTTCCCTGCTGGTTTGGCTGGCTGCAACATTCAGCTGGGAATCTCTGGCTCCAGGGTCACTATGGCTTGATGATTCTTGGTCTGGTTGGGATTGTACCTGTAGCATCTGAACCTGAGAAAAAGAAGTGTTGGGAGAAGAGGAGAGAATAAGCATTTATTAAGTGCCTTTTATGTGCCAGGCACTGTACTAAGTGTCTTACAAATTCATCCTCAAAATAACCTTGTTGCGAGGTTCTTTTGATCTTTCTGTTTCGTAGTTGGGGAGACTGAGGCAAAGGTTAAGTAACTTGCTCAGGATCACACAGCTGGTAAATGTCTGAGGCTAAAATGAATTCAGATCTTTTTGGTTCCAGGTCCAGAGTTCTAGCCCACATGCCAGATGAAACAGAACAAACAAAAACCTAAGGTCAATTTCTCAGGATCACAAGACCTAAAAGGGGAGAGGGAGGGAAAAGGCAGCCTTTTGTCCCCTCACTGGTTCAGTTCATGGTGCCTGTGCTATGCCTCTCTGTAGCTGTATAGGCAAAAAAAAAAAAAGTGTGCAGGAGAGAGAGAATGAGACTCTTCTAGTCTTGTAGTTTTATTTTTTTATTTTAGGCAATTGGGGTTAAGTGACTTGCCCAGGGTCACACAGCTATTAAGTGTCAAGTGTTTGGTCTGAGGCCGGATTTGGACTCAGGTCCTCCTGACTTCTGCACCGGTGCTGTACCCACTGCGCCACCTAGCTGCCCCTGGTCTGGTAGCTTTAAAGATGCAGTGTGTTCTAATCATGTTTATACATCCAAGTGAAGGATGCTACTGCCATGTGGTAAGGCACACAGGATGCTTTCTCCCAGAAGCAGAGTACCTGCATATTAGATGATCTGGGCATGCTCCAAAGTTCCAGTTACCTGTCCATGATCATTGTCTCATCCACCTGCAGGAGTCCTGTCCCTTATTTGATACTCTTCTTTCCCACCACAAAGTGAAAACCCTTTTTGTTACTGTAGCTCTTGCTTCCAGTGGTGGAAGTTTAGCCTGCGCCACACTAGCTGGGTGTTCAAGGCAGCAGAAACCCGAGGCCAGAAGACTGTAGATCGTTGGCCCAGGTGGCAGAGTGGGTGGCCATGGATTCTCTGGATCTGTCTCCCACTGTCACTCACAATGGCAGGATAACCATCGTTCTGTCTCTAACGGGTGAGTGTGTTGTGGGAAGGAGGAAGCAAAAGCTGGGGTGGGGGGGACTGGAAGGGAAATGGACACAGTGAATGGATTCTAAGTCCCTGACATCTCTAAGTCTTTGAGCAGAGGAATAAAAAATAGAACAAGGGTTTGGGGTAGGGCTAGAGGAAGGATGAAGGGGAAGAAGGCTTGTGCTTGTAAAGGAGGGAATTTGGGGGTAAGGAACCAGAGAGAGAATCTAGGGAAGGAATCTGGGGGGGGACCAAGTTGGGTGACACACACTTCTACTCCAAACTTTGAGGCTGGAGACAGAAGGAGATGGTGACGTTGTTCCTCTAAATACTTGAGAATGATCCTCCATTGGGCAGCACAGTTGCATTTGGACTCATTCTCTACTTCCAGAGAGACATCTAGGGGAAAAAGATCAAAGACCATCCTTGACGATTTACTCCCAGGAGCCCTGAAAGGAGCAAAGATTCTTCTCTGTTCAGACAACTAGAAACTTTGAATGGAGAAGTGTCTGAACTGTGAGTTTCTACACAGACTTGAGGCTATGTTACCTATGACAATCAAAATAAGTCTTAAGAAAAATGGTAGAGAGAGAAAAAAACTTGCTTTTTGTGTTTCCACATTGTAATACTTGGCTCACCTAACTCCAAATATTCATTCCCCTCTCCCCATTTCTTGATTTAGGGGAAATGAGATGAGACAAAAGGCTTGTGCAATGGTCAGAGAAAATTGGATGTGCTGAATCTCTCCTGCTAGATTAGACCTCTATGAGATGAGAGGCTTAATGTAAGGAAGAAAAAAAATTTTCCTGCAGAAGGGCATGGCTAGTCTAGCTAAGAATGGCTATATTCATGGGAAACTTATTTCTTTCCAGTCCTTTTACTTCTTAGCTCTGAACTTACTGATACCTTATCTCTTTCTCTCCCACACCCCGAACTCATGACACAGATGCTGGAATAAAAAAAAATGAGGAAATTGGTTTGGATAGGATACCGCTCTTTGCCCCCATCATTTCATCTGTATGTCAAAGCCCTAGAACTCAACTTGTTTCAGAAAAGTCTGCCTGATCTCAGTCTTCTCCTTTCTGTTCTCCCTCCACTCCATGTTCTCACCCCAGAGTTACTGGTCTTTAGTTTCATATTTACCAGCAAAAATTTGTCCATTTGGGTATTCTTACTCTATTTTCCTGATGTAACAGGCTCTCAGGGTACAGGGCTCCCATTTTCCAGTCTATGGTTACACTGGGAAAGGCATTGTCTCAGTTAAAAAAAAAATCAGTACTAAAAGCATTTTATTATTTATTCTACATGGAAGGGGTGGTGCTAGGAGCTAGGAATAAAACTATGGAAAAATGACTGTGATATTAATATATTCATGTGAGAGAGAAACAGATGATTAATTGCTGCACTCGAAACAACAGCTTTCTGTACATCAGCACCTGGAAATGTAGAGAGAGACTCAGCCAGCTGCGGTAGTTATTCAGCACCTGCATCTTCCATGGACATCCTGCAGATGGCGCTCCAGTCACACTGATTGACCTCACTGCGGGATCCAGGACTGGGTGACGGCATTTACGAACAGATACCTTTTCTGCAAAGGGAAAATTCCGGCTTATCTTAGTCAATGGATGGAGGATGTTGAGTTCTTATTCTATGAATTGTTCCTGATACAATTTGGCGAGAATATTGGCTGCTAGGTGGGGCTGCCGATAGAATGCTGGATTTAGAGTCAGGAAGATCTGATCTAACACTTACATGTGTCAATATGTAACACTAATATGTGTCAATAGGCAAAAGCCCATAAACATTTATTGCTGTTTGTCGGTGAGCCATTTTCAGACTCTTTGTGACCCCATTTGGGCTTTTCTTGGCAAAGATACTGGAATGCTTTGCCATTTCCTTCTCCAACTCATTTTACAGATGAGCAAACTGAGGCAAACAGGGTCACATAGCTAGTAAGTGTCTGAGGCCAGATTTGAGCTCAGGTCTTCCTGACTCTAGGCCCAGTGCTCACCTAGCTGACATTTATTAAGCACATACTATGTGCCAGGCAGTGTGCTAAGCACTGGGAATACAAATACAAAAAAAGAAAAATAGTCCCTGGCCTCAAGCAGCTTACAGTTTGAAGAGGGAAGACAACGAACAAAAGAAAGTTGAAAAGTAGTTTGGGTGGGTGGGTGGGGGAAGATACCTGACAGAGGCTTATGGTGGGAGAAATCAAAGAAGTCCAAAATGAGTGCAGCCAGGTGGGAAATGAGATGTCTGTGTAACTCTGCATAAGTCACTTAACTTCTTGAAGACTCATTTCCTCATCTATTAAATGGGGATAATAATAGCATCTACCTCATAAAGGTTGTTGTAGGACTTAAGTGAGATAGTATATGTAAAACTCTTTACAAACATTAAAGCTCTCCACAAAATCAGTTAATATTATTCACGTACCTGCCAATACCAGTACAACTAGTGACTGATAATAATATGGTACTTTAAGGTTTCAAAAAGGTTTTTTTTTTTCCTCCTAATCTGTTATTTCCTTTGGGTAGGGAATTCCCAACATGGAAACTCCCTCTACCAATGCAGATCAGTAACTGATATACAGCTTACAGACCCAGTGAAGTATCTGGGACACTAAGAAGTTAAATGACTAGTGCAGGGTCCCACAGGCGACATGAGTAGAATTTGAATCCAGGTGTTTTTGACTCTAAGGCCAGTTTGCTATCCATTATAGCCTACTGCCTCTTGGCAAAGTTTTTTTCAGTGACCAAGGGAAAACAAAGAGAATAAATGGAAGGTCAGAATACACCTCTCCATTTGTAGATAAGTAAGCCATATCAGATCTAAATTTGTCGCACGTAGAAACCCCATTTCCTGTTCTAGGGCAGTAGTAAGTGTCACAGAGCCCCACTGACTTTACAGAGAGCCTTGTTAGACACCGGAAAAGAAGATGAGTCCTATTCTCTCTATTCTTTTGTGGGCAATTGTGAGCCCCATCATTCTTGGTAAAGAAGCCCCAAACCAGAGAAATCTCATGAACTGGGGACTTAAGATATTGGGAGAGGAAAAGGAGGATTGAGGAAATAACTGTATTCTTCGAAATTGTTTGAGTCCTGAATTGGGATGTTATTGATGGGTCATGGCAGAGGATCAACCCTTTGTGTCTTCTCTTTCCTGTAGGAGCTAACACGGTCAAGGACGTTATTCAAGCCCCAGCATCAACATCTGTACAGGAGGGGGAAGCTGTGACTCTGAGCTGCAGGTATGAAACTCCTGGGCCAGTGTGATTTTGTTCTGGTACAAACAGTCTCTAAGTGGGGAGATGGTTCTCCTTATTCGCCAGGATTCCTACAGCCAAGAGAACGTGAGGGTGGATAGATATTCGGTGATCTTGGAGAAAACAGAGAAATCCATCAATCTCACCATCTTCGACTCGCAGCTGGAGGACTCGGCGATGTATTTCTGTGTCCTCAGTGATCTCACAGTGAGAGATGAGACAGGGGAAGCTGTATGGAAACATCATCGTTGGGCGTGAGGCTCCCACCTGGGGCAGGGGCCCCGGGGGAAACATGTAGCTGAGATTACTGATTTCATTCCTCCTTTTCTGGCCTCAGAGACCCAAATCTAACAGTCCTTAAAACATTCTCATAATCGCTTCCCCCTACTTGAAACAGATAATTAAAATATTTGAAAAAAGTAAAAAAATAATTAAAAAAACCCCTTCCTCCATGGTAGTGGACCTGAGGTGGGAGACTGGGTAAGAAAGTCAGAAACAAAGTTGTTTTGATTGTCGTTGCAAATGGATATGTTTTCAGACCTGAAACGTCCTTGATGATTATCTTCCTGGTTCCTTTCCATTTCATATTAATACTCGCTCTGTAGGTGGCTCAGTGGATAGAAAGCTGGTCCTGGAGTTAGGAAGACCCAAGTTCAAATCCAGCCTAAGACACTTACTAGCTATATGACCATGGGCAAGTCACATAACTTCTCTTTGCCTTAATTCACTGGAAAAAGACAAGGAAATGGCAAACCACTCCAGTATCCTTGCCAAGAAAACTCCATGGATAGTTACTATCCATGGAAGAGTCAGACATAACTGAACAACCACAACTCTGCTCTGATTGACAAAGCCCTGAATACCTTAGGGCAGAGAACATTGTTTGACTTGTCCTTCTGGAAATCCACGTTTCTTAATTTGCTTTAATACTGATCTTGCCTCCCTAGGTACACTTTAAGCTGGGTAGGATACCTAGAGAGTCTATGGTTGATTTTCCTAAAGTCATTATGAACTGAAACAGACCCATCCCCCCACCCCAAACCACAATTAAGTCAGGCCAGCCCAGGCCGGGCATAGCCAGGCTGGGCATAGATTCTAACAATCGTAGAAAGTTAGATCTCAAAGAAACCTTAGAAATAATCTGGTCCTTCCTCCTCAGTAAGGGAGGGTTAAATGATTTTACTAAGGTTCCACAGTGGATCACCGGTATTGCTATGGGGAGCCAGACTGAGCTTCCAGCGAGAGCCCCTGGAGCATTCTCAGAGAGTATAATCAGCCTCTTGCTTTTTCTTTTCCTATAGAAGAAATTAGACTCTTTCCAGTGAATATGGTCCTGGGAACAAAATGTTCTCTTTATCTCCCATATCTTCCATGTGATAAGTCATTGGCAGCAACACATTTTCAACCCAGGATTTTCTAGTGCATCTAAAGCTACTTAACTATGCTTATTAGCAGAAGTGTGCTGGTAAATATTTAATAGCCAGATTTCTGAAAAAAAAAAACCCAGGAATTTTAAGTTTAATCTGCATTATTTACATTTCTCTATCATTTTCTTAATTCTAGACAATCAACAAAACAATCAATAAATCAAGTCTTGATTTTTAGAGTTTGTCTATTTCCAAGGTATAAATGCTCACACTGAAAATTTGACATTGGGCTGAGGAGAGATGGCACAAGCTGGCTCCAGCACACCCTTGGTTGTTAGTCTATATGATGGTGTAACTACTTCACATGTTGATACCCACTAAGACGCTCCAGGATGGAGACACCTTGACAGCCAGCATCCCCTCGGAACCATAACTCATGAGTTCCAATTGATTGTTTACTAGGCCAACCACAGGAAACATTGGTTTAAAGTGAAAGGCATTTAATTACACAACACAGAAATGTATTTGAAATTAAATTCTTCCCTCTGCCCTAAGACACACAGAAATGGTGTCCGTTGGAGGACAGCTTCTATGCAGCTCATTCACTATAGGGCTAGGGGTTTACCAGTTCTGCAGTTAAAAAGGTAAGGCTACCCTTAGCTATTCTGTCATAGAGAATTGAGTCATTCGTACCCAGCCAGGGAACTAGAGAAGGCCTCAGGCATTTTGAGGTCTGTCATTTAAACTGCTTTTCTCCTGCTATTGGTTTATTTTCCTCCAGTTAACCTCTTATTTGAGTTATGATCTAACATTTCTTTTAACTCCTATCTTATATTTGGGTCAGTAGCTTTGTTGCTTTCAAATCATCCTGAGGACTCCACTTGGCCAAAGTGCAAGGAAGCTGAGTGTGGCTGCAACGAGGGGCTTCTTTCTAATTTCTGCAATGCCCCATATTTCCAGGCAAATCAGCTTGGGAGCAAGACTGTGCAGGTGATGCCTGGGAAGCTGGGTGCCTTTGACCTACTTTCTATCAGCAGCCAACATTGCTTTACTCCTTAACAAGATGTAGACTTAGTGGTGTGTCTGAAGTTGGGGGGCCAAGGTTCAATCTCTGACTTTTTGCCAGCTATATCGCCTTGGGCAAAATGTTTTTGAGAATGTATACTTGATTAAGACATGAGAAAAGAACAGGCAGGCTTCTAGGAATGATTTTCTTCTTGCAACCACAGACCTGGGACTGACCCAACAGCATGCTTTTGTTTGTGTTTGTTTTGCCCTATAATTCCATCAGTATAGGGAGGAATCCTCTCTCCTCATGCAAAGCAGCAACTGCTGTAATTTGGTCTTGAAAAGGGACATGGAACACTGAGTGGTTATGTGACTTTCCCAGGGTGATACAACCAGTACATGTCATAGAGAGGACTTGAACTAGGTCATCCTGACTCCAGGGTGAGCTCTAGATCTGTTATGCCACATCGCCTCTTGCCGTGTCTTTACAATGACGCGGCTGACAAAAAAGTGTAGAGAATAGATTTTACTCATTGTTTATTGAATATAAAACCACATCTGATTCAGTAGAATCAAACAATACCTTAAAAGTTCTCCTTCAATAAGGAGTCTCTCGTGCATATATAATGATGATGATGATGATGATGATGATGATGATAATTAGCGTTTATACAGCACCTACTATGTGCCAGGCACTGAGCTAAACACTTCAAAAGTATCTTGTTTTATCCTCACAACAATCTTTTGAGATAGGTGCTATTATTATAATCATTTTTACAGTGAGGCAAAAAGAGGTTAAGTGACTTTCCCAAGGTCAGAAAGCTAATAAAAGTCTGAGACCAGATTACGAACTCAAGTCTTCCTGACTCTAGGCCTAGATTTCATCTAGGAATTTTGTATGAGATTACATGTCATATATATGTATATACACATTACACAATCCCTACTGATAAGGAATATATACACAAAGTATATTCTTTACTTGTAAAGGACATATATATATATATATATATATATGTATATATATATATATAATGTACAAGAAAAATAATTTAAATAACAAATGTAAAAATGCCATCTATATCCACATCCATATGTACATATATGTATCATATAATCTTAGACAAATTTGCTCAAAAGATGTCACAACAGAGATCACTTTGCTCAATGATTGATTATCAATATGAAGTGAAACAAAAGAAGGGAGACACATGCTTGCAAAAGGTGTTTGTTCCCATTGTGAAGAGTGTTTAGTAAGAGTCAAAATGTTCAAGGAATTCCTTATACAGGGCAAGGTTCTAGCTGATATTTCTGCTTGGAGATGGCGTTGTGCTACCTAATTACTTACACAGGGAAAGAAACCAAGTGGACGAAAGCTGCCAATCGTGCTGTCTATGATGTAAGGTTGGATGGATGTGGCATGGAGCTCATTCGTAGGTACATGTATCTTAGATATATTACATGGCATTGAATGGGACTAAGTGAATGGGCTGGATGGCCTTTAGGAAACTATGGAGCGTTTTCAGTGGCTAAAAATTTCTTTCTGAAACAAAGGACCACCTTTTTAATAGCAATATTTTTTATGGTGATGCTGTATGGCTCCAAGTTCTGCTTTGTCTCCAGCACCCAGAAGGAAGAGGAGAAATACTATTTCATCACTAGGGAAAGAGAGACACCATTCCATCATGAGTCTGCCTTCTTTCTTGTGTCCTCTGTGTTCTTCTAAGGGGAGAAAATGTCATTCCATCAGGCTAAATCTTTTTCCTGGTCTCTAGTCTTCCTTGGGAAGAAGAGAACACCCTCCTTTCATGCACTAGTCTCCTTACTTTGGGGTAAGGGTAAAAAACACCATTCCATCAAGTCAGATCTCTTGCCTCCTGCTGGAAGAGGAGAAATACCATTTCAAGTATCAGACTCTTTCCTTCCAAGGAAGAAGAGAAAGACCATTCCATCAAGTCTCCATCTTGGTTTTCTGTCTTGGTGAAAGGGGAGTAACACCCTTCCTTCATGTATGAGCACCTGACACCTTGCCTGAACTACCTAAGACCCTGAGTGGATGCCACTCAAAGGCCAAAATTCTATGGAAAATGAAAATTTACTTAAATTGATTCCTTGATGATTAACAAACTTCCCCCAACCCAAACATGTCCTCTCCATCTCAAAGATTCTGAAGCTCCATTGGTTATCATTCAAACCCTGTTCTCTGTCTCCCATTGTTCCTGTTCTCCTCAACCCAACTCTATTCCAATGGCCCACTCTAAAGCTACCTTCCACTGTGCTCTCTGAAGTGCCTGCTTCACAAGATTCAAGTTTGCTTTTGCCTTACATCTTTTTCTTTTCTATTTCTTCCATCTTCTTGTTGTCACTGAGATCTTGCTCTCTCCTGATGACACACCCTCTCTGGCCTCCCTTTCCAGTACCGGCTGCATTTTCACTCATTTCTCCTGATCTGGGTGAAGTGGAAGAGCAGGAATATTCCTTGCCCACCCCCTTGCTGTTTCCAGGTTCTCCCTCTAACCCCATCACTCTATAACCTCTTGCTTTGAGGTTCATTCAATCCATTCATACAATACAATCAAAATTCTGGTGGCTGTTGTCTATTGTTCTCCAGGACATTCCTCTTCTTTCCTGACTTACAACTCTTGTCCTCATACTAGTGGACTTTAACATACATATTAGTACTTTTTCAAATACCCTCCCCTCCCAGTTCCTCAAAACCTACTCATTTTGGATGACCAGCATTCCTCTACCAGGCAGCTAGGTGGCACAGTGAATAGAGCACTGGGTTTGGAATCAGGAAGACTCTTCTTCCTTAGTTTGAATATAGCTTCAGACACTTACTAGCTGTGTGAACCTGGACAAGGCACTTAACCCTGTTTGCCTCAGTTTCCTCATCTATAAGCTAAGCTGGAGAAAGAAATGGCAAGCCACTCCAGGATCTTTGCCAAGAAAACTCTAAATGGGGTCACAAAGAGTCACACATGACTGAAATGGCACAATAAGAGCACTCCTCTAACCTCCCCCTCAGTCACATGCAAAGATGGTTATATCCTTGATTTTGTCACAACCCACAAATGTACCAAGTCCATGTTAATGAACTCTGAAGTTCCCTTATCTGACTACAAGTTATTGGCTTGATACCTCTCCCTCTTCTAATCTGTATCCTTCTAATACCAAATTCTGTTCTTCATCTATGCTGATCACTCTTCCATTCTTTCCCAGGCTATCACTCCTGAACTAGCTACACTCTTTTGCCTTCGCCATCTTGACCGCTTACTGAACCAGTTCAGCTTCACACTGTTTTCTTTTCATGAGTCCATGGCCCTTTATTATATCATTAGACTTGCCCCCACAAAGCCTCAGCCTCATATTGCTCTCCCAACATACATTACCTTTGTTCCTAGATACATACTGCTGAGTAAACTGGAGAAAATCCCAAAACTTTGCTTACAGGATCCACTACAAATTTTTGTTATACAACCTAAACTGGGCCCTCGCCAGTGCAAGGCAATCTTTTATATTTTCCTTATTAACTCATTCTACCACTCACCATAGTGACTCTTCCAAACCTTTTTAACCCTTTTCAAATCACCCATGGATAACCTTCCCCCAACCCTCTTGAATGAGAATCTTGCTTCATATTTTACTGAAAAAATTGAGGCCATTTACTGAGTGCTCTATCTTTTCCCCTCCACCTTATCTCATATTACCCAGGTGCCTTCTGCTACTATTTCCTCCTTCACCCCTATAGCACATAATGAGGTGTCCCTTTTCATTGCCAAAGATAACCCTTCTACATGCATAAGTAATCCCCCATTCTATCCTGTCTTCTCCTCCATCATCTTACTCCTCCATCATCCCTACCCTCTCACTTATCTTTGATTTCTCCTCATCTACTGGTTGCTTCTTTACTGCTTACAAACATGGACCCATCTTTCCCATCCTCAGAAAGCCCTCATTTGATCTATCCATCCCTACTAACTATTGTTCCATATCTCTCCTCCCTTTTGTGACTAAACTCCTTGAGAAAACCATCTAGAATAGTTGCCTCCTCTTCCTTTCTTTTTCTTGTCTTTTTAACTCTCTACAGTCTGGCTTCTGACCTCATGATTTAACTGAAAGAAATCTCTTTAAAGTTACTAATGATTTCTTAATTGCCAAATCCAATGGTTTTTTTCTCAGTCCTCATCCCACTTGAGCTCCGCAGACTTTGACACCATCATCCATTCTCTTCTCTTTGATATTCTCTTTTCTCTAGGTTTTTGTGATAATACTTACTCCTAGTTTTCTTCCTATTGGACTGTTGCTTCTTAGCCTCCTTTGCTGTAACTTTATCCAGGTCATGCCTGTTAACCATTGGTGTTACCCAGGACTTTGTTCTGGGCCCTTTGTTCTTTCCACTTGGAGATT